ATAAACTTGGCTATTCTTTATTTGTTTTGATCTTGGCTTATTCAGAAGTTCTGATGCTCATCAAAGTTTCCTGCCTCTTGCAAACACATCACTTCTGATAGAATACAGATGAAAGATAAACAATATGGTTGAGACTATCCCTGAGTTAGGAATAGTTTATATAGATTTATGTAAGTTTTATTTGTAACTCTCTTTTTCCAGTGTCTAAATTACATATTTCAGGGGTAGTGGCTGAGCATGATGCCAGTATGAAAACAGATGAGCCTGCACTCATTGGTAACTGCTAAGAGTCACCCAGGGCACCATCAGTGAAGGTCAAACTAGACAGGAGGACAAAGTGTGTGGGGGGGAGATCCCATTCCAGTCATCAGCCTCTGTTTTGCTTGCCTCCCTCAAAGTTGCTTGGCTTCATTTCACTATTGGTGCCAATTCTGCTGACCTCTCCTCTCATTCTCCTGGTGGTGGCAGTTGCTGTAGCAACCCAACATTCCACCTGGGATTATTTTGAGGAAGCTGCTAATGACCACTAAGGAACCCCCACCCCTCACATACAGTACCCTAATGTGTCTAGAGGTGGTTTCACCCATTTGGAATATGAGGACCCCTTTTTAACATCAAAAAATGTTGTGGACTTCCCACATAGTGTTCCCTCTAGTGTTAGTGTGAGCTAGCTCACAGTTTTTTAGCCTCCGGCTCACACATTTTTGTCTTAGCTCAGGAAGGATGGCTCCGGAGCAGACTAATTTAGGCAGCAGCCAAATCGCTTGCTCACAACTTTAATGTCAGTAACTCACAAAGCTGATTTTTTGCTCACAAGACTCCACAGCTTAGAGGGTGCATACTTTTAATATCCGTTGACTAAGAAAATGCATAATACCCAAACAATCCAAACGACAGTGTTGAGTGCATATAGGGATTCACGGACTTCTTGCGATAACTCTGCAGCTCCCTAGAGGTCCCTGGCCCCACAGGTTGTGTGCAGCGTTACCAGCAGGACTTTCCAGTGGAGGGGCCTTGCCAGTGATGTAATGATGTTGCCAACAACACACATCCAGAAGTGACATCAGCACATCTCCACTGATGCGCTGGTATTTGGGCAAATGCCAGAACATCCCCAGAGACATGCTGACACCACTGAGTACACAGGGCCAGTGTGTTAGTGTGTCAGGACACTGACTGCATTCCCCTGAATTTGGTGCCATTCCCCCTCTCCTTCACTGGGCAGCTGGGCAGTGGCAGGGAAGGGCCACTGGGGGCAAAGGTATGGCAAGCCTAGTTGGGCCAAGATGTTTTCCCCACAGGACCAATAGCAGCTCCAGAGAAAAGGGAGCAGCTGACCTATGGAAATGACATCTCCTACTCCACCACAGCTCTTTCTCTTTTTTTAAACAGTTTTTATTAGGATATAACATCAAATCAAACAGTATAACATTCTTTCAGTCATTTTATATCCTTTTCTACCCCTATCCCCCTCTCTCTTCTGGCTTCCCACAGTGCTCCAACCTCCCTCCCAAATTTTTTGTTTCCATTTCCCTTCACCTTTCATCTATTTCTTAAACTTATTAGGTAACACTATAATCCTTATATACTTATACACATTCTAAATACCTTTCTATCAATAGTTGTCAAAGCTAAATAGGTTGTTCTTCACCTCCCAGTATTTCTCCAAATAGACTTTAAAGTCTTTCCAATCTGTGAAAAATTCTTCTGCCTCTTGATTATTAAGTTTTCTTGTCATTTTGTCCATTTCAACCATAAAAGTTAACTTTTTTTTATCCATTCCCAAATCTCTGGTACTTTTTCTTGTTTCCAAGCTTGAGCATATGTCATTCTAGCTGTTGTAATCATATACCACATTAGAGTTCGTTTTGCAATATTAACTTCTTCCATTTTAAGACCCAACAACACCACCTCTGGCTCCTTTTTAAATTTACACTTCACAATTTTTTCCATTTCCCTATGGACCTCCGTCCAAAGGTTTTTTGCTTTCTCACATGTCCACCACATATGATAAAAAGAACCTTCTATTTTTTTACATTTCCAACATTTACTTGACATATTACTACTAATATTTGCTATTTTTTTGGTGTCATGTACCATCTATACATCATTTTATAGCAGTTTTCTTCTTTTAAATTATTACAAGTTGAAATCCTCATTGCATTTTCCCACAGAAATTCCCATGATGACATATAAATTTCTTTGTTCATATTAATTGCCCATTTTATAATCTGTTCCTTTACTACTTCATCCTCTGTATACCATTTTAACAGTACCTTATATATTTTAGATATCATCTTTTTACCTTTCTCTGACCACAAACCCTCAATTTCATTATATTTCCCCCTAAATCCATACTCTTTTTTGTCTTTTTTATATGTCATAAATTTGTCTATAATGTAAACATCCATAATCAAAGTCTATTTCCTCTTTCGCTTTTATGTCAAAAGTCTTCCCTGTCAGTTTCAAAATATCTCTGCATTGTATCCAATCTTCTCCTTTATGGCTCGAATACGGCTTTAGTACCTCTGCTGGAACTATCCAAAGTGATCTCTCCTCCGAGAAAAACCTTTTATACCTTGACCAAGTATCAAACAACGTTCTTCTGACATAATGGTGTTTAAACAAATTGTCCATTTTTGTTTTCCCATACCATAGGTATGCATTCCATCCAAACTTACAGTCATGCCCTTCTAGTGCCAACAATTTCCTGTTATCTAAGTTCACCCATTGTTCCAGCCATGTTAAACATACAGCATCGTGATACAGTCTGAAGTTTGGTAATTGAAATCCTCCTCTTTCTTTTGCATCACACAAAATTTTCATCTTAATCCTTGGTTTTTCCCCAGCCCATACAAATTTTGAAATCTCTTTCTGTCAAGCATTTAAGGTTTTTTGGTCTTTCACTATTGGGATGGTCTGAAACAAAAACTTCACACGTGATCACACGTGATCTGTATAAGGGCCTTCACATTGGCCACCTCCAACTGGGGGGGGGGGGAGAAGGATTCCTTTGTGGATATCCTGGTTTCATTTCTAGTTTAGCTGTCAGTGACAGGCACCTCCGAACTTAAGTTAACAGAGTTTAAAATACAGTCCCAGATGCTGTAATGCCACTGGCTTGCTTTAATGAGTGTAAACAATATGTCAAACTTTAAAAAGTTTAAAATCCTACCACAACAATGGAAAATATCACGGCTGTGAGCATCTGCCCTTTGCTTCCAATAACTTTCTTTTAAAGCATTTGTAAAGCACCTACCTACTGTTGTAAAGATTATCTGGCTGTACCAAGCATATGAGAAGCTATAAAGTATAAGGATATCTTTAGTCCGATGCCATGGCCTAAAGCCCCTACTAGCCTAAAGCTAGAAAAGAACAGGTTTCGGTGTTAAAACAAGTTAAACAGCTAGCCGTGTATTTCCATGGCTAAAGACGCGGTCATAAAGGTGGAGACATGCAGGTCTTCAGAAAGAAACATTCTTGCATCAGTAACAGAAAGGAGTCTGATGCTACAATCCTATGCAGAGTTACTCCTGTCTAAACCTGAATTTAATAGACTCAAAGTGGACTGATTCTGCATGTATTTGCACATGTCAGTACAAGCAATTGGTGTTCCTGCTACTAAATCTCAAAAAAGGTGACAAGTAGCAAGCAATTGCTCTTATCCAAAATGGCTGTTTTTATGCAAGTAGGGATACTGTGCTCTGATCCTGATAGCCCCAGATAGCCTGATCTCCTTCGTTCTCACCTGCTAAGCAGGGTCAGCCCTGGTTAGTGCTTGGATGGGAGAGGCCACCTGGGAAGTCCAGGGCAGCTATGTGGAGGCCTCTGAATGTCTCTTGCCTTGAAAACTCTATGGGGTCACCATAAGTTAGCTGAAACTTGACAGCATTTCCCACCACCAAGGATACCGTTGGCTGCTGGGGCTTCCTTTATCTGCAGCAGATCCACTCTTGAAAAGTCCAGCCGCTGTTCTGTTGTTCTGCAGACAACTGTGGATTAGTTCAGTGGCAAATGCACAGTGGCCTCACTTTCTTTGGTCCACAAACAAACAATCTACTTGCTCTCTGCAACTCTCTGCAGCTAAAAAGTGCTGAGCAATATTTGCTTGCACCCTGCTGAGTCACTGGACAACGTCAAAAGTAAGACTGTGTTTTGTATTTTGTGTGCATACCATATTCTTCACTTTGGGACAACAAATCCTACTTTGGCCAGTTAAGTATAGTTATATATGGGTATAGCGGAACTGCCTTCAAACATAGCAGCCGTGTTTAATTGCCAGCAATGAGATGCTCCTGTCAGAAGTAGGGAGTCACAATGTAAGCAGAATCCATCCACACAGTTAAACTGTCAACGATCATCCGGAGAGAATCCTTTAACAGAAGACTGTGCAGGAAGGCTGAGGAGGAGGAAGGAACAGAAGAAGTGACAGAAGAAGGTATTTTATAGCACTCCACCAGGTGGGTATCAGATGCCACACGCTGGGGAAAGGGAGCACTGGAGATTTAAGTTAATGGCTTCTGGGGCAAAATAGATGTGGTAGTAGCAGAACTATCTCTTCAAGTGTGGGTTGCAGCTGAAAGAGTGGGATGGTAGTTATGGGTTGTTTTTCCTCTTTTTCTCTTTGGGGTGCTTATTTCTGGTCGCAGAACCTGTCCTGGGGAACAAGGGCTGATGTGTGTGGCTGTAGGGGGACTGACTAATGGAGAAAGGGGTTCATCACCCCTTTATTGTCCTGTGGTAGTCTTCAGCAGGCAACACTAAGGTGGTTGCTAGTTCCTAGTCTGACTGATGGTGACAAAGGCCCACCAGGCATTTTCCACAGTCCTCACTGTTACAGTTGAGATAGGAATTCCCTCTTTCCAACAAAGAGAGGTTTAACTCTCAAAAGCTGATACCCCCAGAATCTTGTTGGCCTCTAAGACGCTACTGGACTTGAATCGTGCCGTGCCCCCTATCTGCCTGTAAATGTTAACAGTTCAAGGTTAATATATGGGTGTTAGAAGAACTTTTGTAAGCATCGATGACCGCTGAATTTAGTCAGGTACGTGAAGGATCCACAGAATGAGACACTGTCTTGAATTGATGCCCCAGATACTGGTTGCTTTTGGGATTTTAAAACGACAAGATGCAGCGAATGCTGAAAGAGAAAGGAGAAACATGAACGTATTTCCAAAAGGATCCTTAACAAAACCCAGTGTACATCGAGACACATTCATGACTGTTTACAAGTTCACACCTCTTACAAGGTTGTAGGTTACTAGGAGTATAACTTTAGCCAAAGTCCTGTCCTGCTTCCCTCAATACATGTATTCAGAAGATAGATATTTTCCTCTTGGGCTGTTCCAGAGAAAAAGGAGATTCTTTTGGCTTGGAAAATTCACAGTGAAATATGAGTTCATTACCTTTTCCCTGCACGCAGCAGCTCAAAGCCTTCAGCAATTTTCTCAAAGGGCAATGTGTGACTAATTAATGCATCTGGATTACATCTCTTGTTCATGTAATCAGAAACCAGTTTGGGGAGTGCATCTTTTAACTTCCAACCTGTGTAAAAAAAAGAAGAGCTCAGTCCATATGTCCCACTGTTTTGGGGAGTTTTTTTTCCTGAGGGAAGACACTGTTGGGTATGACCAACATACACCAAAAACAATGGGTTGGATCCAGCACAAAATTTCCACTTCAACTAGAGTTCTTGAACAAGTGGAAATGTGAGAAAAAAGCCACTTGTTCTAAGACTTATTGTATCCCCCAGAGGTCGATTTTGGGGGGATTGCGGGGGATCGCAGTTCCCCCGGGTGAGGTGCGGGAGGGCGGGGCACACGACGAAGCCCCGCCCCCTGCTTCCGGCCGCCCCGCTTCCGGCCCTCATTCACCTAGGAGGAGGCAGGAGGAGAGGGAGGGTAAGTTGCTTCCTCCCCGCCTCTCCCCACACCTGCCTGCCTGAGGGCCTTGGCGGGTCTTTCTCGCCCTCCCGCCGGCCTTGCAGGTCCACCGCCGGGCCCCTGATGTCAGGGGGTGTGGTATATGCTAATGAGTTATGCTAATGAGTTCCCCTAGCTCTTTTTCTACGAAACGACTCCTGGTATCCCCACATGTATTTCCTCTTGCCCACGATTTTGTGCAACCAATTTCTTGGCATTATAATTAGGGTCCCCATGGCCGTCAGCAGGGGATGGGGGGTAAGGTTGCCAGATCCAGATTGGGACACTCCTGGAGATTTGGGGATGAAAGCTGGGGAGAACACAGACCTCAGCAGGGTATAATGCCATGGAGTCCATTGTCTCCAGGGGCAGCGATCTCTGTAGTCCAGAGATGAAGTGTAATTCCAGGGGATCCCCAGGTCCTACCTGGAGATTGGCATTCCTAATTATAATGTACAGGGAGGAAAGCACTAGATGTTGAACAAGATATTGTGCAAATGGAGCTATGCTAAGTCCATTTATGTTTCTGCTTGTGCATCCCTTGATCCAAGCCATTGAATAAATATTTTTTAAAAGCGGCAATATTTTAAAAAATGAACAATATCAAGTTGCAAATTGATGTTATTAGGCCATCAGTACCAGTGAGAACAGCAGGCCAAAATAACACAAATCAAAAGCTTGGTAAAATAAAAACCTCTTCACCTAAAACGCAAAAGAATAGGCGCCAGGTGAACAGATGCAAGGAAGTTATTCCAGAGATAAGGTGGGCGCACACGGAAGAGAGCCTCTGATTATGAGCTCAGCCATCAGCTCTGGCCCTTACAGCAAGAAGCTGCTCTTCGAACTCTGCTTTGAAATGATTTAGAAGCCAGTGATATTCAGTCAATGCTGGTGTCCGGGGTCAGTGTCCTCTTCCCTGCAATTATCTCTGGCGTGGGGGGTGACCAGGCTGCCACAGAGGGCACAGGAGAGCAGCAGAGGGCCACCGAAGAAGGCCCAGGAGAGAGAGCTTGCTGGGGGGTGGTTTCTTGACAGCGACAGGGTGCTCCACACCTGAGACGTCCCCAGGCTGGGCAAGCCAGGGCTTCCTGAGTCTGCCACAGAGCTCAGGGAAGCTGGATGGTGGTGGTTGGGGGAAAGAATTAGGCAAGTACACCAGTATCTCCCAGCATGCTTGCAGAGAAATGAGGCTGGGTAACAGGCCAGCAGCCCCATCCCACACTAGCTCTGCCAGAAAGGTGGTGCCCCCTGGGCATGGAGGATGACCATCATCCAAGGGCAACGCTAGGTGGGGAGGATTGGTGAGTCTGGTGGAGTCCTGCTTTTGGGGGGGGAGATTTAAGCAGAAAGCACAAGGCGGGCCAGGGAGAAGGATGACAGGAGAGGCCCAGAGGTGCTGTGAGAGTGACTGGGCTGCAGGCAGGGAAGAGGGGAGAGGGTGCAAACAAACCCCCCTCCCACTATGTTATCTGAGGCCGCAGCCAAGCCTGCTGGCTGAAAGTCGAGCCCTGGAGGGATCTGCCCCATCGGACTTGCCCGTGGGACCCTCAAGCCCTGACAGCTAGCCAGTTGTGTTCTCAGGGAGTTTTCACCAGTCAGCAGTCTTGCAGCGATACCCTGAAGCAACTGAGGGTTCTGAACAGTCTTCAAAGGCAGCCCCATGTAGAGTACATTGCAGTAATAATCTAATCAAGATGTGATCCCTATGGCCAGGCCATGCTTTTCCAGGAAAGATGCAATTGGTTTGTATTTCTCTCTAGATGCTAGATGGTCCATTAGTACTCTTGGACCTTCAACACATGATTCAGATAGCAGGCTGTATTATAACCAACACACTGTGAAGTCACTGGGTACCAGAAATGCCCTTGTGTGTGCCATTAGGAGGCCAATATATATGTTTATGCACACTGCTGTGCAGGTGACTCTGGGGCCTAGCTTACTCCTGAGTACTGATGAATATACTAGTAAACTGGCTGAAACTGATCACAGTTGGTCTCTGCTGACCCACAGTATGTGTAAACCAATGCTTTCTCTAAGCTGTGGAGTCCTGTGAGCAAAAATGCTACTTTCTGAGCTACCAGTATTAATGTTGTGAGCAGGTGATTTGGCTACTGCATAAATTAGTTTGCTCTGGAGCCATCCTTCCTGAGCTAAGACAAAAATGTGTGAGCCGGAGGCTAAAAAACTGTGAGCTAGCTCACACGAATTCAGCTTAGAGGGAACACTGGTGTAAACTACTGCAAAGCAACTTTTGAAATCCAGTAAGCCAGACATAAGAACACCTAGTTCTTCTGTTTCCATTTGAGCTTCTATGTCTGCTTAGTCAGAAAAAAATGGCCCAAGAAGTGTTGGTGCCTGTGGTAGAAAATCTAATCATTTCCTACCATGGTGGGGAAAATATATTCACTACCTACATCATTTAGGGCCCTTTAATGGTGCCCCAAACTTTGTTGTAGGGATGGGCACGAACCGGTTCACAAACTGTAATTCGGGCCTGAACTCCTATTTCAGCGGATGTAACACACACACATAGTAACGATCATATGTGATGACCCACCTCCAAGGAGGGACCCTATCAGTTTCCTCCCTGTGATGATCAATCTAGGATCAAAAGTGAGCTGTGATCCCGAAGGAGGCTCCCCTACCAGCACGCAGGTTCCAGAACCCAAGCGGGAAGAGGCAAGGGCGGCTACCTGTTGGAGAAACGACAACATAAACTGAGAAAGCCTGCCACACAGATTTTGGCATAGTCCAAGACGGATTAAATCCCCATCCCTGCACCCCTGGCTGCTGTCCCTGCCTCTCCATCATGCCAGTGAGGAAGTGCTGATGTGCCAGTGATCATGCAGCTCCCCTTTGCCTCTTCACAGCAGAGCCGTCATTAAAGGGACTCTGCAGCTGAACTATGAACTGGGGGGAACGGGAACAAAGCCTCTTAAAGGGCTAAGCGGGGTGTGTGTGTGGGATGCTGAGCTCAGCTCTGCCACTTTGAAGGGGGTGCTTAGCCCTGCCCACTCCCTGGATGGGCTGTGGATGAGGAACCCACACAAACACTCCACCTGCAGCCACCTCACACTTCCCGTTTTGAGTCAGAGCACAGGACATCTTTGTTCACTTCGGCTTAAAGGAGAAAGCTTCAAGGGTCATGCTCAGAAAGACCATGACATCATATGGAAGCGCACACAAAAAGGGGGGGCATATGGTGCTAAACGGGGGGACCCACAATATGGAAACAACATTTTATCAGGCAACAGCCTCAAGTGACAATCTTATACATCTCCAGGAGATGGCGGAGGAAAATGCCAAAATTTCAGACACTACCCTGGAGCGTAGAAAGAAGATATAAAAGGGATTCATCATGTCTCCCTTTTCTGAAGGTTCCAGATAATATCAGATGGTGGCTCTAAGCTATAAAAGGAGTATGAGAGGTTATAGTACAGAGGAATCACTCACCTCTGTTTCAATACGCCCGATCGCCTCAAAGGAATAGTCCACGCCGAGACCGGTCATCTCCACGAGCACCTTCTCAATGGGTTTGGTGAAGTCATTAGGAGAGATGCAGTCGGTGGCTCCTAACTCTTTCGCTTTGGCAAATTTGTCTTTGTTGATGTCGATGCCAATAATCCTGGAGGCTCCAGCTGTTTTGCAGCCCATGATAACGGACAGACCAACGCCGCCCAAACCAAAGATGGCACAGGTAGAACCAGGCTCAACCTGACAAACAATATCAACAAGAGCCCTGGGTTTGGGATTTGCAGGATCTCTTGTATCGACCTATTATTTGGAACATTTTTAGACTGTCTCCTGGCCAAAATTCTTGTCCTGGTTTACAAGAAACTTCAGCATAATGCAAATGCGGGAGGAACAGATGAAGTTATCAAGGATTATATAAATCCCCCCCCCTCCCTGAGCAGCAGATTTTTTTTTGAAAGGCAGCCAAGATTTTAAAAAGCACAGAGATCAAAGCCAGCAAACATACATTAGAAATTAATTGAGATCTGGAACAAACACTAATCATCACACGGGATAATAAAAAAAGGGTCCCTTGCATGCCTAAAAGTCTAAAGTGGTACCAGGCAAACTATGTAGAATGAATTCCCTGAGCGACGTGTCAGCAAGGTTGCCAGAGTGGGGGTTGCGGGGAAGGGTTGCAAGATCCAGGTTGGGAAATGCCTAGAGATTTGTGGGTGGAGTCTGAGGAGGGCGGTGACCTCAGTGGAGTACATTGCCATACAGCCCACCCTCCAAAGCATCCATTTTCTCCAGGGCAACTGATCTCTGTAGTCTGGAGATGAGCCGCAGTTCTGGGGGATTCCCCTGTCCCACCTGGTGGCTGGCATTCCTAGGTGTCACCACAGAAAAGGTCCCGTCCCCTGTGGCCACCCACTTCAGAGGCACACAGAGTTCAGCTTCACAAGAATCAGGGACCAAGGAGGGATGCTGGGGCAAGATGCAGACCCTGCTTAGCTTCAGGACCCCTCCTCTATTTGCCAAAATTACTTTCAGCAGTAATCATGAAATACAACGAATAATAATAATGGCTAGAAAATAAATGCGGGTGGGTCTGAAGCAGCAGAACCAAGTTTGCTCTTGAAGGTGCCACTGGACCCAAACTTTGTTTCAATAGCCAGAAAAGAAATGCAGACAGTGAAAATTTTCTTTTATTTAACTTTGTATGTATAATAATGCTAGTTTAAAAAAAATCAAATTCCAATACGCTATTCTGTCATGAGAGCCAGCGTGGTATAGTGGTTAAAGTATTGGACTAGGATCTGGGAAATCCAGGTTTGAATCCCCAGTCATGCCATGGAAGCTTGCTTGGGTGACCTTGGGCCAGTCACATTACTCTCATCCTAGCCCGGACCTGGATAGCCCCAGGATAGCCCCAGGATAGCCTGATCTTGTCAGATCTCAGAAGCTCATCAGGGCGGACGTGGAGGCAGGCAGTGGCAAACCACCTCCCAACGTCTCTTGCCTTGAAAATCCAACAGGGTCACCATAAGTCACCTGTGACTGGACAGCAGAAATAAATAAATAAACCCCACCACACCTCTCATGTTCTTAGCAGACACTATTCTGAAGCCCAAGAGCTGATCATCCCAAACATCTACAAGGCATTTTTGAGAGATAGGAGTCCACTTTTGTACTAAGTTGTAACTAACACTAGCCAAAGCATCACAAAATAGTGAGTGCAAGCTTCACCAGACTAGATGTTAAGAAACACATTACTCCCCCCCCAAAGAAGGTGCCCCCATCCTCCATTGTTTCCAAAGGACTAAAGTCAATCCAGGGAATCTCTGCAGTAGAAACTGAAAGGGGGGGCATTTATGGAAGCCCAGTAGAACCAGTGCAATGTACAGAGTACCCAGCAGTACCAATGCAACCACAGAGTGCCCAGCAGAACCCAGTGCCATTGTGGTAATAGCCAGCTGATGTCAAGCAAGAATCACAGTCCGTGGAGGGGGGGGGGTTGGAAGCCCAGCAGAACTAGTGTAAAACTGTGCCCAGCAAACCCAGTGCCTTCTGTTCATAATATTACCAAAGGTTTGCTACTATACTACTCTTAAATACATTCTGTCACTGAACAGGATAGGGATGAGAAGGTCTTGAGACCAAGCAGTGAAAAAAAGGGAAGGACATGGAAAAATTAGGTGAAGGGAGACAGAAATGAATGAGAAACATGTGGAAAAGAGGGAGCGAAATTAAGAGAGGGAAAGGTTATTTTATCTTGCTGCAACACCCCAACTACTGCTTTGCAAGATCTGGCTGAGCTTGGTGCAAGGAAAGAAAGAGAGAAAGGCTAGACTATTGGAGAAAATAACCTGCAGGCTGGCAATTACTGTAGTAGCTATTAGCATGCTGGCTTGGTTGTACAGTCTGTTAAGCAAGTTTGCTTCAGTCTTGGAGAAAGGGAAGTCTAGCTGATCCTAGAGTGCTTTTTGCAATGCTCAGATTTCCCTGCGCCTCTAGTGGCTGCAGCCAGAAGTGCATTTTAAAAAGAAAAGGAAAGACATTCAGCTGGACACAGCATGACACTGGCTTCAAGGGCCCCTTCAAAGGCTTTCCTCAAGTCCCCCACCCCGCCCTTGTTACACCACTGAGAGGAACTACTAGGAACCTAGATCTAGTGGCAGCAAGAAAGTGGTCTTAGCTCTGCTTGCATCCAGAAATATCAGGACAAGGCTGAAGGGTGATTCCTGATTGTACAATTTCTCCAGCAGGGAGGAAAGAAGCCTTTACTTCACCTGTCTGGGAAGCACACACATTCACGGATCCTCACCTTGGCCGAATTGATGGCAGCGCCATAGCCAGTAGAAAACCCGCAGCCAAACAGGCAGACTTTCTCCAGAGGAGCAGCATCGTCAATCTTTGCAATGGAAGCCTCCGGCATAACTGTGTATTCAGAGAAGGTGCTTGTCCACAGGAAGTGGTAAACTTGCTTCCCTCTGCAGGTAAATCGACTCGTTTTGTCCGGCATCAGATTTTGAGGTTGACTGAAACTGTTTGAAGAGACCCAGACAGCATCTGTATCATAACCTGAACTAACTGCTGCATCTTACTAGCAAGTCCAGATGAATAATAGAGGTTTCAAACAGACTTACTGGCTTTTGAAGCAGAAATTTGTTTTAGTATTTAGACAGGAGGCACATTCTCCACACTGGGGAACACATAAAGGAATGACTCTGTCACCTGGCAAGGGGAGAAAAATAGTTAATTTGCCTGAATGAAGCACACAAAAACATTATTTTGAACCAAACAATCCCTGCTGAGTTAATTCCATTCTGCAAGCTTCAATAGATTTAGATTGGCATGCTTGCAATTTCAGGTTTATATTCATTCATTCAGACAGAGCACAAATCTTTTCAGATTTTCAATTTTAATCTAGGCTAAAAAGTTACACTAAGTTATGTGGACTTAAGTCATACTAAAATCAGCAGAGGTAAGAGCAGAAGGAGATGAAAGATAAATCGTCCAGCACAATTTCATTGCTAAATAGCAGAAAGCAGTCATATAAGAATCATTAAAACAGCAATTAAACTGTAGCCATTTAAATTTACCAGAGTAGCTCTGCACACGTAGAGTTGTCTTTCCCCACCACTATCAAACCCCCGTGCATCCCAAGTGAGGGGAAAGGCTCTTGTCTTCTCTGCCTGCCTTCTCTCTGTCTCCTCGCATGAGGTACAGCAGCTCAGATGAGAGAGATTGCCAAGGTAGGGTTCCCAACTTCCAGCTGAGCCTTATAGGTCTCATGAAAGTTTCCCTGGAGAAAATGGTTGCTTTGGAGGGTGGATTGTATGGTATTGTACTCCACTGACATCCCTCCCCTGCCCAACCCCCTGCCTCCCCAGGCTCTGTGTTCAAATCTACAGGAATTTCCTAACTTTTAGCTGGCAACCCTACTGCAAGGTGTGTGGAGAAAACCAAGCTGGTTGTGGAGGAAGGGGAGTAAAACCACCATCACTCCACTATGGCTAGCTTGCTCTTTTCCTGGGTGGCGGCCATGGCGGTGGTGGTGGTGATGGAAGGGTAGGTTTGCCAAGGGCTGCTCTCAGAATTTCATTCTTACCTGGCTTGACACACGTGACTTCTGGTCCAACGCTTTCGACAATACCAGCAGCTTCATGGCCCACAATCACTGGGTAGCTGATGCCAGGAAACAGACCCACCGCTACATGGTCATCTGTTCGACAGATCCCGGTGGCCACTATCTATGTGGAAATAAGTGCAACAGGACTTCTGTATTTGTACTGCCTCATCCTGGTACTTACATTTACAAGCAGCCAGTTTTGAAAAAAATTGCAATAGAGGAATGGTGTGACCCTCCAGCATGCAGATAGCTTTCCATGTGAATCCAGGACCACTGTAAAAACAGCCAATCACATGGTGGAACACCCAGTCACATGATTTCCCCCCCCCCCCATGAAGGGGAGAAAAATCATGCAAGCTGAAGCTCTTTCCACTGCCAGCCTGGGGGATATGAATATGCATTTGTAGGTGGGGGTGGCGACCAGGATCACTGCAGCAGGTTCCATCTCAGGCATATAGAAGCTCACTGAGAGGTGTCAAAGTAAAATACAGGTAGCATGCCTGGAGGCACTATATTTCCCTTTGCATTAGAACCAGACTGTGTGTGTTATCTTCTTTCTGAATAGGGTGTCTCTTATTGGCCCATTATGCACCGACAGCTTCCTCTGCTTCCTCCAGAGAATCCGAGCAGTGAAGCCTTTAAGCTTGACTTCGGATTTGTGTGCCTGCTGCATGCACCATTCTTATTTCTCTGGTGTATTTCTGTATATTTGTTCTGCAGCTGCAACCAATTGGGGTGGGAACGTCATCAGTGCTAGACACCCCCCCTTTGCACTTCAGATCCATGGATCCTCAACGTACTCCCCTCTGGGGACCCCTCCCCCAGCTTAATATCATCATAATAATGTCCTTGCTGAGTCTGCCCCTCATCTTGGTTTCCCGACTTTCTGCCCCCCTCCAGTGCTAGACCTCCCCTTTCTGCACTTTAGACCCATGGATCCTTGACTTCCTTGCCTCTGGGGGACCCCCCCCCTTTGGGTTTAAAATCATCACCTGTCCTTGCTGAGTCTGCCCCTCATCTTGGTTTCCCAACTTTCCACCCCTCCTCTGGCACTAATCCTCCCCTCTTTTACACTTTAGACCCAAGGGGGTGGGGGCGAGGGAGAGGTGCAGTCCAGGATTAGCAAAAACTCATATCACTAGACTGAACTCACTTGATAACCCCCCTCCCAAATTTACAAGATGGAAAACCTAAGCAATAGTGCAGCTTGTATACCAATGAAAGGGGGGGGGGGAACCACTAATGTTCTGATAAGATCGCAACCCCAGAGTAAATACGGATTGAAGAATTTCCTATTTCAAAAAAATACTCCTACCAAGTTGTCAGAGAAGGTTCATTCACTAAAATAATCCCGGGTTGGAAAATTATTGGAGATTTGGGTGGTGGAGCCTGGTGAAGGTGGGGACCTCAGTGGGGCGTAATGCCGTAGATTCCACGCTCCAAAGCCGCCATTTTCTCCAGGAGAACTGATCTCCATCACCTGGAGGTCAGTTGTAATTCCAGGAGATCTCCAGGCCCCACCTGGAGGCTGGCGACCCTATTCAGACTCAGGAAAAGGTTCCCATCCCCTTTGAGTAAGAATTACTGACCTTCACTCGAATTTCATGGGTCCTTGGTGGTGCCACCTCCACCTCTTCAACAGAAGGTATTTGCCCTGCTTCCCAGATGACTGCAGCTCTGCATTTAATCACCTGTGAAAATGGACATCATCAGAACCGACAACGGAAGAAAGTCCACGACGCCCTTCTTAACCGTTTAAAAGAGGGGCAGGTCTCCAATCAACCAAGATGTCGGAAAGTGAACACCAAGTGACAAGAAGACCAAAAATGAGGATTTTAGTACTTCTGGAAAGGGGCCCTCCATCACCACATCTGCAAAAATCTACTATAACTCAATCTGGCTCTCCCAAAGATCAGCTTTGGGACAAACAGTAAAAACACCTAATTTGCATTTAACAAGCTTTGGGGAGGAAACAATGCATTTAAATGAAGGTTTTAGTACTTTTGGAAAGAGGCCCTCTTAAATATATGTTAAATCAGTCTCTTTGCTTGATCCAGTACAATCCTATATAGTTCTGTGTATTGTTCGCTATAGTTTTTGGCATCACGATACAGTATAAGGCCTCAAAAATGCAGATGTTTATATCCAGCTTTGGCAAGCTGCTTCATTGAAGTGCCTGGGTTGGGTTTCAGCTGTAGCTGCAAAATAAAATAGAAATAACTGGAGCTGTTAATTTAAAATCAGACTGATTGGATGATTGGGTTGTCACCAGGACGAAGCTTGGGAACACAGGGATGTGTTGGCAGAAAGTAGACACAGTGAGAACAAGTAGCAGTTTCGATGCCAATAACGGTTTTGAGTTGAACTGAACAAGTAGTAGTGCCGATCTAAGCAGGATTTAGAAAGGTGTAATTCTGTTGGGATGGCACTATCAATTTAATGTCCTTTAATGCATTTGTTCTGTGCCCAGTTAGGGAAGAAGTTTCCTTTTGTCTCCAGCTCCCCTCTCCTTCCTCATAGTTTACTGGATATACTATTCCATTTCTATTTCATTTTTCTCTAATGGAGGACTTCAGTTTTGTTGGCTTGTTTAGCGTAGGGATCATGGTGGTCTTTATGGTATAGCTTTTATAATTCCGTAATTTGACTTGAGTCTCAGAGAGAAAGGCAGATGATAAGATAAGGTATTTTGTTGTTGTTGTTCAGTCGCACAGTCGAGTCCGACTCTTTGCGACCCCATGGACCAGCTCCCTCCAGGCCTTCCGGTCTTCCGCCATCCTCTGAAGTTTGTTCAACTTCATGTTCGTTGCATCGATGACACTGTCTAACCATCTCATCCTTTGCCGTCCCCGTCTTCTTTGACCTTCTGTATATATGTAAACAAAACAATAAGCATGTATTTGGGGCTCCACTGGCACATGGCAACTTAGTACGGATCCTAAAATATAGGAATGCACAGCTGGACCAGACCAATCTAGTCCAGCGTTGTGCTTCCTGAAGTGGAGGGCCTTTAGCAGGGGCACAGAGGCCAAAAACTCCCTGTCATTACCCCCCCCCCCCAGCAACTGGCATTCAGAAGTATATTATCTCTGAACATGCACCTGTCCTCCATGTATTAGATCGACCCTTTTTTCCTAGTGCCATCATGACATCCTACGGCTATGAGTCTGATAAATTACTTATGGTGTAAAAAAGTACTACCTTTTGTTCTTCCTGAATCCATTGTCCATCGTTGTCATTGAGGCCCCCACCTTAAAGGGTTTTGTGGGAAAAATTTCCTCTATCTGCTTTCTCCATTTCAGACAGTTTCATATACCTCTGTCATGCTCCCCCATAGCTATCATTTTTTCTAACCTCTAAAAGCCCAAGGGGAGGAATAGGAAATAGAGGATGAGATTTCCCCTCCCCACGGGGATCCCGCAGGCCAAAGCCATGTGATCTTCTTACTTAAGGGGGGGAAAACATTTTAAAGACATGCTGACACTGCCTTAACAAAGAGACGTTCCCTTTGCCACAAACCCTGTCCCTTCTTGCATTCATCTGATTATGGCATCAAACTCCCCCCCTCCCAACCCGGCATCTATGGCTTTGCTTGTGTAAGCTAATCAGAACGAAACATCTGAATTCCAGGGTGGCTGGAAACTACCAGAGGAAGTGGGAAAAGACATGTGATTGGAGTGATAGGGAACGGGTGGGTCTAACAGAGCTAGGAGTGCCAAAAATTGATTCAGCGGAGGCATGTGTGGAGAAGGACCGACGAGAGAGCTTATTTATTTAAAAAATTCTATCCTACATTTTCATATTTAAAAAAAACCCCTGCACACAGGCTCACAAACATTTTAAAACTACAGAGTCCAAGTAAAATGAAAACAGCAATAAAACCAACATTCATTAATCAATACAACTACCATCAGTCAAACAAAAGCCGTCTTCACTGTGTGTGTCTATATGTTTATATGTTTTCATTATTTCAAGCATTTTATATATATGTGTTTGTGTGTGTATTTTAAAGTCTGTTTTAATGTTTGCCACCTTGGATACCCTAAGATGAGGGGAAAGGGGGTGCAGAAATGTTTTAATTACAATTAATTAAATAAATAAAGTTAAACCTTAGAAGCCTTGATGACTATTAAAGTTTTACTCTGGCAACTGAACGAATGCCCGTTGGTGCCCATGCATATCTGTTTAGGGAGAGTATTCCATAACACGGTGTGAAAGGGAGAAATGCTACATTTTTGTCTGTCCTGAATTAACTAAGCTGACAGAATTTGAACTCTTCTCTGCAGCATACGAAGAGTATAAATGTATTCATATATTAAAATTCTGCCCTTACTTGGCTACCACAAACCAACCTTAGCGATGGATGCTTTGGAGGGTGGACCCCCATGGCGTTATACCCCACTGAGGTCTCTGTCCTCCTCAGATTCCACCCCCAATTTCCCAGGATTTTCCCAGCCTGGATTTGGCAACCCTACCCACTCACACACCCCTCCCCACTGGTGGCCAGGGCTGGAGTGACCTGGCAACCCTATATCAGAAAGATGCTCAAATGTATAGGAAGGAATGGAAGTGGAACAGAAGCCAGCCACTGTAAGAGCCTGTAGTTAAGTCTCTGTCATGCCGCTTTCTTGCAGCTAACCTTTGAGCAGGCCATAGGCATAGGCATGTCCCATGAGCTGAAGGGTTCTTTGCTTAAAGACCATAGGTTGGAGATGGGAAGATCTGCCTACAGGAAGAGAGAGACAGACAGACAGACAGACCTGCCCATACACACGTTGAACTTTTAGTTGAACCTTTAACACACACCCATTCCCACACTCGGAAATGTCTGCATAAGTGGACTTGTTCATGTTGCTTGCCTACTATAAAGAAAAAAGAGTGGGTAAGTAGACACAAGGAGCTGCGGTGGCTCAAGTGGTTAAGATGCTGAACTGCAGGCTGTGGAAGGTCAGTAGTTCAGCAGTTCGAGACCCGGGTGCTGCATGATGGAGTGAGCTCCCATCTCTAGTTCCAGCTCCTGCCAATCTAGCAGTTCAAAAGCAAGAAACTGCAAGTAGATAAATAGGTACCACTTCGGTGGGAAGGTAACAGCGTTCCGTGCGCCTTGGTGTTTAGTCATGCTGGCCACATGACCACGGAAACGTCTTCGGACAGCGCTGGCTCTTCGGCTTTGAAACGGAAATGAGCACTGCAACCCTAGAGTCGGATTCGATTGGCTTTCGAGCAAGGGAACCTTTACCTTTTTAAGTAGACACAGAACCTGTGGGAAGGCCCTACTTGGGTAGGCATTTGAAGCCAGTTTGGTGTAGTGGTTAGGAATGCGGACTCTAATCTGGGAGAACCAGGTTTGATCCCCCAGTCTGCCACATGCAGCTGCTGGTGTGACCTTGGGTCAGTCACAAGTTCTCTCAGCACTGTTCTCTCAAGGGCAGTTCTCGGGGGAGCTCTCTCAGCCCCAACTACCTCACAGGGTGTCTGTTGTGGGGAGGGGAAGGGAAAGGAGATAGTAAGCCGCTCTGAGACTCCTTCAGGTAGTGAAGGGTGGGGTATAAATCCAATCTCTTTTCTTCTCTCACTTAGAAGGAGTTCACATTAGAGATGCAACAAAGAGTAAAAAGAATATGCCCATCTGCTCATATTACATAGAAAGGTTTGTGCAACTCAGTCAGTCTTTATTACTGTCCACAAGCCATTCAAAAGCAGAGTGAAACAGATAAAAACACTAATATAAAATTAACTACATAAAGCCTCTCTATACATCACTTGTCTTAAAATACTTACAGTTAAAAGGTTAGAATCTGAGTAAATTATGCACTCGACATTATCTCAGCTGATATGTTCACTGCAGAGCATAAAAACTTTGCCACAGAAACAGTAGTTTTTTCCGTCAACCCTTGCCAATAAGAGTTTTCTGCTCCGAAAGCATTTTCTTATCAACCAAGAGAGGTTCAAGTGCAACTCATGATTAACAGGAGCTGTTTTTCTCTGACAGTTTATTTTGCAGAATCATTCACCAGGGCCTCATTTGATGAAGAATTCAACCTTAACTTATGCAAACCAAACTTGTTATACCAACCTGGTCATACAATTAACAGGGCAGATTGCAAGTCTGGACATTCCCTGCTGGGCAAAATGGCATCCCATAATACTCACGCTCAGTCATGTTCACATACGTGCAACAGGCTCCCTCCCTCCTGGAGGAGGGAGCAGAACATGACTGGTAACTCCTCCATGTTTCTTGAAGTCCCACCGGAAGGAGCACAGGAGAAACATGGTCAGCTCCCAGTCATCTAGAATCTAGAAATTGCCCCAGAGCTCCTATGATTTCTCCCGTTTTTAGGGGCAGGGCCAAGTACACCTCTCTCACCCTCCTTCAAGCCCCATTGGGAATGATGGGCCTTAAAATAGGGCGCAAGAGTCTCACCACCCCATTCACCGCTTCTTCTTGGACAATTCTCTCATGTACCAAGGCTGGGACTGAAGGGACAGCACTGAACTCCTTTCCCCTTGGGAAATACCAGGAGATTTGGGGGGTAGAGCTTGGAGAGGGGAGGGGAGGGACCTCAGTAGGATATAATGTCCTCTAATCCACCCCCCCAAATCAGCCATTTTCTCCAGGGGAACTGATCTTGGTTGTCTGGAGATCAACTGTAGTAGCAGGAGATCTCTAGGTTTCCCCTGGAGATTGGCAGCCCTATGTCTGGGTTCCCCCTAAAGTGATATAGCAGTGCATACAACATCATGCCCCCCTCCCCACATACTCCTGCCCTTGAATCTTCTGCCAATTGCTCGGGATGGCCCAGTAACCCTATGAGGCTGTAAAGCATTGTCTAGGGCCTAGGCTGGACCAGTTCAGACTGCAGGCCCTTTGCATCCAAGAACTACCTGCTCATAGAGAACTGGCACATTGGGCAGAAGAAGAGGCTGACATTTAGTCCCAGGACAACTTAATCTTTTGCTGTTTGATGCACTCTCTTCTGTCTTTGAAATCCCTTGGCTTATATACAACAGGGATCAGCTTTGTGTGTAAAAACAAAACGGGGAAAGAGGAAAGGCAAGGGAGTGGTGCTTCCTCTTGCTTCTGGTGCAGTACATGAAAAGGAATTTGCAAGGGCCAGATGCATAAGCTCCAGATGTGGAACAAGCCAGCATGCTTCATCCCTGCAAATTTCCTTTCATAGTCTACTGCAACACTTCATGGTGAAGTTGCTCAGAGATTAAAATCCTTCCCCTGATTTGGGTGAAGGGTGTTGAATTGGTTTACTTCCATGCACTTGCATGACCAGAACTTGGTGCATTAAATGAAATAATTTGATTTAGAATCAGAAATTTTACAAACATTTTAAATATATTCTGCATAATATGAGGGAGCTTTTTTAAATTAAAGGATAGAAATTGATCTAGTTGCAGATGTACAGTGCCATCATAAACAGAGTTATCCCTTTCTAAGTCAAGTGCTTACAAGGGTGCAACTTACACATGTGATTTAGGATGGCACTTGTTAAACTGCTACCAAAAGATCTCACATGTCCTACTTGAGATACTTCAAAGGACACCTGAAACAGACCCCTGACTGATACAGCATAACAATATTTAGCATTTATATCATGCTCTGGAATGTTCGATACACATGCAGTAACCTCAGAAGTCCTCCTTATAGCCACCCTGTCATGTAGGATACATCATGTAATACTACATTTTGCAGGTAGAGGCTGAGAGAAGAACCATGTGAGTGTAACCTGGTTAGCTTGTGGGTGAGGCAAGATCTGAACCAGGGATTTCTTATTTTAAAGCTTGCATACTTAGCCACTATGCTACATCATCAACTTCAAAAAATATCAATGTATGAGAACTTCACTCCCCTTGTTTTAAAGCAGGCTCACATTTTAAAACCATAAACTGGGGCTCAGCTTCATATTGCAGTGTGAAATGAACCTGCATAAATAAAATCTACAGAATGTTTCTTTAGGTAATATCATTTTAAAGAGTTTATTCTTTAATCTTAGAGCAATCTAAGACATGGACACATAAACACTTCTAACATGTGCTTGGTCTAGAAAGCCCTACACGGTCTGGGACCAGCGTTTCTATGGGACCACCTCTCCTGGTATATTCTCCAAAGAGCAAGTTTGGTGTAGTGGTTAAGTGTGCAAACTCTAATCTGGGAGAACCGAGTTTGATTCCACACTCCTCCACTTGCAGCTGCTGGATGACCTTGGGCAAGCCATAGTTCTGTTAGAGCTGTTCTTGAAAAAGAGCAGTTTCTGTCAGAGCTCTCTCAGCCCCACCCACCTCATAGGGTGTCTGTTGTGGGGAGGGGAAGGGAAAGGAGTTTGTAAACCGCTCTGAGACTCCAAGTGAAGGGTGGGGTATAAATCCATCCTCCTCCTTCTCCTTCTTCTTGCACTTCACTCAGGAGAGAAGAACTTACTGGTGATCCAGCTGTCCTCAGCCAGAGCCATAGCATTTTTGGCCCTGGCGTCTATTCGGTGAAACTTCCTGCCAAATGTAGGGTTGCCAAGTCCGAAGTGGCGCTGGAGTGGGGGACTCCAGCGCCGCAACCACGTCACCCGGAAGTGACGCGACCACGCCGGGCATGCTGGGGGCGGGGCCATGACCATCCGAGGGAAAACCATAGAGTTTTCCCTCGGATTACTGTGGCCCCGCCCCCAGCGTGCCCGGCGTGGTCACGTCACTTCTGGGTGACGTGCAGGTCGCATACTTTGGAAGTGGGGTTCCCCCCACCACCGGCGGGGAACGGGCCTCGGGGCAGGGTTTCCCCCGCCCCGCGGGGGGACTTGGCAAGCCTAGCCAAATGACATCCGGGCCCTGCGGGACTTAATGCAATTCCTCAGGGCCTGCAAAACAGAGATGTTTCACCAAACAGATGGTGGAGGACACCGATGGGTTCCATCTAGCCTGGCTCCTCCTGCCTCCTCCCCCTACTGGGAAAGGATATTAAGCTGTATACTTCTATGTCATCTGTAAGTTCTTGCTGAATTGTTTAGGCATTTCAGTTGTTTTAACCGGATTTCATATTTAAACTTGTATATTGTTGTACCCCACCCTGAGCCCTGTTGTAAAGGGGAGGGTGAGTTATAAATCAAATAAATAAATAAATAAATAAATCAGTTGCAAAAACTGTGTGTCTTACCTTCCCTGCAGTTGCCATGTGTCAGGATTCCTGCCCCAAACTCTCCTGCAAAAGTCTTTCCCTCTTCTCCTCCACTTTGGCTCTAGCAAGAACACACAGGCACAGTGATACATAAGCCACTCATTCCCCCCAAACCCACCCTGTAGAACAACACAATGTATAAACTATGATAGGCCAGCTATGGAAGGGGAGGGCCAATTTGCAAATCTGATATAGCCTGTTATTGCCAAAGGTCACTTTCCCAGTTATCTGGATTAAGTTAATGTTCTTCTGAACAAATGGGCATCCAAATCCAAATGTCAGCAGTCTTCCTCATTATCAACTTCTACCTGTTAGGGAGAAAGTACTCTGATCCAGGCTTTCCTGCTCAGATAATTTAATAGTGCATAATCACGCAGTGCCTTTACACAAAGGGTAGTGTTACCCAATGAGGCATTCTCCAATTAGTTGAGGAAAGGAGACTGTGTGAGAGGGGGGCATCTAAACAGCTATGTCTATGGGGATTATCCCTATGAGAACTCTCAAAATAACCAGGCTGTTTTTCAACTGGAAAGGTTTTTATTAGATAAAATAAAAAACAGGATAAAAACAAGGGTGCACACAGCAAACACATACAAGAGTCAGGGAGGAAAGGGGATAGTGTTGTAGGCAGGGGTCGTTTCATAGAAAAAGAGCTAGGGGAACTCATTAGCATAACTCATTAGCATATGCCACACCCCCTGACATCACCGGAAGTGTGTCATAAGGCCACACACCCTGCCCCCAACGGTCCCGGCCGCCGCCGCTGGCCTTGCAGCTCCACTGCCAAGCCCCATGAGGGGCCCGGCGGTGGACTTGCAAGGCCGGCAGGACTGCAAGGAAGCCCCGCGAAGGCCCTCCCTGGCCCCAGACAGGCAGGGGTGGGGAGAGGCAGGGAGGAAGCAACTTACCCTCCCTCTTCTCCTGCCTCCTCCTGGCTGAATGAGGGCCGGAAGCGGGGCGGCCGGAAGCGGGGGGTGGGGCTTCGTAATGTGCCCCGCCCCCCCTACCTCACCCGGGGGAACTGCGATCCCCCGCGATTCCCCCCGAAATGACCTCTAGTTGTCGGAATGGGTGATATTTACCAGTCTTTAAGAGGTCCGTGGAAGAAGCAAGTCGAAGAGGAAATGGCCAGTGTTTTGGGAAGTGAGAGAGAGGAGAAGACCCACATGCAAGTAGGGGTGTGTGGGAGATCCTAGAACACACGCACACACTGCTGGGTCAGCATGGTGACATATTTATAGGGCGAAATCTATCTTGAAGCAGGTTGTCACTTGGATTATCAGCAGATGTTCACCTTGATATTTTCCCTCTATGTTGTAAAGTATCTTGAAAAAGCCCTTTAATCCCATAAATATCTTTGTCAGTCATTCCCTTCACCTACTGGTTATTCCAGCAACCCCTCCCCCTCCAATATACCCTAACTTAAAGGTTTTGTTTTCTTGTAGAAAGAAGCTTATGTGATACCATGTCGAGCCACATCTGGCTCTACAGCCCATAGGTTATAGATCACTGTGTCACGTCTTCTTAACTTGCTCCTAGGCATTGGTGATGGGAAGATTCCTCAGCAGTGTGTGTTGCACCTCACCATTCCCACACACAGCTTCTCTGGAATCTCCCAAAACAGTAAGAGACTGGGAGAGGGAGGAGAGAAGGAGGAGAGAAGGAGGAGAGTGTTAGCCCACAACTAACCCCAAAATCAGGAAAGCCAAAAACACTGAAGGGGGGGAGAATGTAAATATGTGATAATCATATTTGAGTTTGTAAAAATCATATAACACTAAATAAATATCCTTTCATAAATATATGAAAGAGCCTCAAAATAATCATAGCCTGCAAAACACTCCTATCATCAATGGTAAAGTTAAAACAAGTTTTGACAACACTCTTCATCAGTGGTATGATACACAAAATTCTACAACGTACTAGGGGTGTGCATTCAGGTATATTTAAGCCAAAAATATATACCAGAACAGACAAGTAATTGACTCTTTCTAGTATGTGTACAGTAAATCAGTGATCCCCAATGTGATGTCCACCAGTGTATTTTCTAGTGCCCACTTGCTTCTACCCAAAGGCATCCCTTCCTCAAAGATAAGTGCCATTCCTAGCTTTTGTCCACTCTATTGGTGCTTCTGAAGAGCCCAGGAACCAAAGAGCACCTATTCTGAAACAGCTGTCTCCACAGTTGGAGAATGCTGGGCTTGAACCTTCCAACATTTTGTGGGGCCTTGTCGCCTCACAAAATTCTGATTTGGTCCCAGTCTTACACAGCAGCCATTTTGTGACTAGGTCCATCACTCATGGCAGTCATTTTGTGATGGCATGGCACTTGTTATCCAAATCAGTTCTCATGCCAGTTCTGTCACATGGAGAGCGTCCACCACACGTGAAACCCCTTCAAAACATGTGTCATGGGTACGGTTGATATTTTCCTGCTGGAGGTGAGAGGATCTCCCACAACTGTGGCTCCTTCCCCAGCTCAGCTGAGCAACAGATTTTATTTAAATTTGACAGCTTGCAATCTATACCAAGCAAGGCCTGGGCTTTGAACTCCCAAATGGAAGAGGGAACCTCCAGAACTTGATCAGTAAAGTGAATCTGCAAATCCTTTGTTTGCAGTTGCCCATTAGTTGATTCCTATTTCCTGCCCATCTGATGCATTTTATCACCTGCCCGTAGACTGTTCTATGCTGCTTTTATTGATTGGTAATTATTTATGACCGCTAAAATTGGGATAGTTTTATACTGGTAAAGGTAAAGGTTCCCTTGCTTGAAAGCCATTCGGATCCGACTCTAGGGTTGCGGTGCTCATCTCCATTTCAAAGCTGAAGAGCCAGCGCTGTCCGAAGACATTTCCGTGGTCATGTGGCCAGCATGACTAAACACTAAGGCGCACGGAATGCTGTTACCTTCCCACTGAAGTGGTACCTATTTATCAACTTGCAATTTCTTGCTTTCGAACTGCTAGGTTGGCAGGAGCTGGAACTAGAGACAGGAGCTCACTCCGTCATGCGGCACACTGGGTCTCCAACGGCTGGACCACCGACCTTCCACAGCCTGCAGTTCAGCGTCTTAACCACTTGAGCCACTGCAGCTCCTCTTTATACTGGTAGGGTTAGATTTACTGAGTTTCTTTTAACTGAATTTTGAATTGTATTGTTACTGTTTTATTGTTAGCTGTCTCTGGATGCAGACATTTTCTAAATCAGGGGTTCACAACCTTGCAGAGCCTGTGGTGAGTATTGGAAAATTGAGAATAAGTGGTGGGCAGTACCAGGAAATGGCTATCACAGGGCTGACCAGCCACAAAGTGCCTGCCGTAGGGGTTGGGGCCAATCACAATATATTGGGAGGTTCCAAGGCAAGCATTTTCCATCCTGTAATGGGAGCAGCTGTTTCTGGATGAACCTTCCCTGCAGACACAAATGTGATGCCTCCTGGGCTGCTCTGAATCATCTTCTGCTCCAAGAGATGGAAGAAAGCTGGGACTGGCTCTTTGCTCTGGGGAAAGGATGCTTTTGGGTAGAAAGATGTGAGCAATAAGAAATGCATTGGAATCATAGAATCATAGCGTTGGAAGAGACCTCCAGGGTCATCTTGTCCAACCCCCTGCACAATGCAGGAAATTCACAAATACCTCCCCCCACACCCCTAGTGACCGCTGGTCCACACCCAGAAGATGACAAAAACCCTCCAGGATCTCCAGCCAAACCGGCCTGGAGAAAATTTGCTTCCTGACCCCAAAGTGGCGATCAGCATTTCCATGGGCGTGTAACCAAGGGCCATAAGAATTAAGCACTGATGCAACCCTTCCTGCCCTCCCTCTCATGATCTGCCTAAGTTCACACAATCAGCATTGCTGACAGATGGCCACCTAGCCTCCGAAAACCTCCAAAGAAGGAGAGCCCACCACCACCCGAGGAAGCCTGTTCCACTGAGGAATCACTCTGTCAGGAAGTTCTTCCTAATGTTTAGCTGAAAACTGTTCTGATTTAATTTAAACCCGTTGGTTCTGGTCCGACCTTATGGTGCAACAGAAAACAATTCCGCACTGTCCTCTATATGACGGCCCATCAAATACTTGAAGATGGTTACCATATCACCTCTCAGTTGTCTCCTCTCCAGGCTAAACATACCCAGCTCCTTCAACCTTTCCTCACAGGACTTGGTCTCCAGACCCCTCACCATCTTCATTGCCCTCCTCTGGACACGTTCCAGCTTGTCTATATCCTTCTTAAATTGTGGTGCCCAAAACTGAACACAATACTGTAGGTGAGGTCTAACCAGAGCAAAGCAATACTATCACTTTGTGTGATCTAGACACTATACTTCTGTGGATACAGCCCAAAATGGCATTTGCCTTTTTAGCAACCACTTCACACTGCTGACTCATGTTCAATGTATGATCTACTGAGACCCTTAGATCCTTTTCGCACGTACTACTGCCAAGACAAGTCTCCCCCATCCTATAATTATGCATTTGATTTTTATAAGCTTTCACATTGGGGTTTGTTCTCAATATATCCCAGAGGGTTTCCACACTCCTTTCTTTCCGTAAACTATGTATTATAAAGCTAATACGGCTACTTTGTAACCGAATAGTTCAGGAAGGTTGGACTGTGGGTTATACCACTGTGTATAGGGTGCATTATCAGTTTGCTGCATGTATTACCCTGTTGTAATTTCGTTGTTCTCTACTGTTCTCATGCCAGGTCCCAAAGAGGCCAGGCTGGCCGCTACTAGGGCCAGGGCTTTCTCGGTGGCGGCTCCTACCTGGTGGAATGAGCTCCCGATGGAGATCCGGGCCCTGCGGGACCTTGTACAGTTCCGCAGGGCCTGCAAGACGGAGCTCTTCCACCAGGCGTATGAGTAGGAGCCGCCACTACCATTATTATTGTTCCATCTTACCTGGCCCTGGACGAGGGAACACCAGTGTTTCCCGGAAGCAGATGATTCTAAGGAACAGAGTAGTAGCAATAGAGCTTTTACGCCATCTTGTGAAATAACATCCAGAGCACTTATTAATTAACTGTTTATAATGTTATCTGTACTGTGATGATTTTACATGATTTTACTTATGTTTTATATTGGCGTATGCCCTTGTAAGCCGCCCTGAGCCTGCGTAGCGGGGAGGGCGGGGTATAAATCGAATAAAATAAATAAATAAATAATAATACTGATGTAATACATTTTTTCTTCATTATAGCCACACTCTGTATCATGCCTAATATGCTATACTCATTCAGATTTCAGAAATCCTAGACCCAGGACATTGGTCATCAAATGACATCTGATGATAATTGTATTGACCTACACTGTGCTTATTTGATGTCTCTTCACATGGACTGTTATCAATTTACGCTGCGTAATCTACTTTAATAGAATAATAAATAAATAAGTGTATGTGGAAATAGCTTGCTGTAGAGAATTGCTGACATATTGGCTGCAGAAACTGAGAGACAAAGTAGGTAAGGTGATGCTTTCCTTTTTTAATTGATCAGAATCTAAATCATACAACTCTATGAAATCAATTATTAAGACAAAATCAAAAAGTGCAGTTTTCAAGGATTTAATGAAGCTTAAATCAAGTTTCACAGGATTAAATGACAATGCTAACATTTCAGTGATGTTAGGAAGATAATATTCTAATAACAAGCTGTTTGAAGATAAAAGATGCACAGAAAATGGTTTGGATCCAGCCACCCTTATCACTCAATCACCCCCAGTTCTCTTCTTAGCTATGATCCGTATTCCACATAATTTTTGTTCATGCAGGTCTCATGAGCCCCAGCTTAGCCTTTTTGGGTAGTCAAAGGGAATACTTCCTCCCTTTTTCACCAGTGGAAAAATATGTTGGGTCCAACCCAATGGCTCACACAGTGGCATGTTAGATATACTTGATAGTAAACTGCCAATGACCATAAACCAATGACAGAACTAGATTTAGATCCTCGAAGGGCTAATATCTATTGGATTGTGTTACAGTGATAGAAATAGCTCCTTTTGAGGTCTGAAGGATGAATAAGCATAGGTGCCAGTACATAGAAGTTTCTCTCTGTATGAACTTTGCTTTGATAGAGTTCTTCAGTGTACAGTGAGAGCCATATGTGCATAGATGTGTAGGCTCAATGCATTTCTTATAATGAATGTATGTCAGTCAGAGCTGGAACTTGCCACTGATATCCAGTTGTGTATTCACTACTTCCACTTCAGATATTTGGAGAGACTATTTTGGGGGGATTACTTTGAGGGAGTTGCTAATTACCCCAAAGGGGGGAAAAACCCTTCACATACAGTACCATAATGTGTCTGGAGGTGGTTCCATCCATTTTGAATATGAGGACCCCTTTTTAAGATAAAAATTTTTTGTGAGCTTCCAACATTATAGTACTTATACCACTGGTATCAGTTGAGTAAGTAAGAATACAATACCCAAATGATCCAAATGACAGTGCTTAGTGCACATATGGATTCCTGGACTCCTTGCAATATGCAGAAAATGTTAACAGTTTCAAGGTTAATATATGGGTATTAGTTGATGTTGTAAGCGTCAACGACTGCTGAATTTAGTTGGGTACATGAAGGATCCACAGAATGAGACACTGTCTTGAACTGATGCCCCAGAGACCGGTTGCTGTTGGGACCTCAAAACACCAAGACGCAGCGAATACTGAAAGAGAAAGGAGAAAGATGAACATATTTCCAAAAGGATCCTTAACAAAGGATCCTTAACATCGAGCCACATTCATGACTGTTTAAAAGTTCACACCTCTTACAAGGTTGTAGGTTACCAGGGGTATGTCTTTGGTCAAAGTCTTGTCCTGCTACCCTCAATACATGTGTTCAGAAGATAGATATTTTCCTCTTGGGCCGTTCCAGAGAAATAGCAGATTCTTTTGGCTTGGAGAATTCATAGTGAAACATGGGTTCATTACCTTTTACCTGCACGCAGCAGCTCAAAGCCTTCGGCAATTTTCTCAAAAGGCAATGTGTGACTTATTAATGCATCTGGATTAATGCATCTGTTCATGTAATCAGAAACCAGTTTGGGCAGTGCTTCTTTTAACTTCCAATCTGTGTAAAAAAAAGAAGAGCTCAGTCTATATGTCCCACTGTTTTGGGGAGTTTTTTCCTGAGGGAAGACATTGTTGGGCATGACCAACATACAGCAAAAACAATGGGTTAGATCCAGCACAAAATTTCCACTTCAACTAGAGTTCTTGAGCAAGTGGAAATGCAAGAAAAAGACTGCGGGTAGCCACTTGTTCTAAAACTTATTGTATCCCCACATTTTCCTCTTGCTCAAGATTTTGTGCAACCAATTTCTTGGCATTATAATTAGGGTCCCCATGGCCGTCAGCGGGGGATGGGGGGGGGTAAGGTTGCCAGATCCAGATTGGGACACTCCTGGAGATTTGGGGATGAAAGCTGGGGAGAACACAGACCTCAGCAGGGTATAATGCCATGGAGTCCTTTGTCTCCAGGGGCAGTGATCTCTTTATTTATTTATGTATCAAACTTTTACCCCGCCCTCCCACCAAGGTGGCTCAGGGCAGCTTACAAATAATTAATACCAGTATACAATTAAAACCAGTTATCACAACTAATACAATACCGTACCATAAAACCATAAAACATTACAGTAAATACAACCTATTGAGATTTGGCGGCCATCCGTATAAAGTGCTAGTGCTTATGTGGAACGGCCAGTGTGGCCAGGGCTATTAGAACGCTTGTTGGAACAGCTCGGTCTTCACCGCTCTATGGAATTGTTGAAGATCCCGCAGAGCTCGAATTTCAGTTGGGAGCTCGTTTCATAGCGTCGGTGCAGCTAGGGAGAACGCCCTGGTTCTTGTTGCTGTTAACTTAGCATCCCTAGAGCCAGGGGGGACCAGGTGGTTTTGTGTCCCGGATCTCAGTGCTCTCGGGGGAACATACGGGGAAAGGTGGTCCCTCAGGTAGACAGCCCCCAGACCATTAAGGGCTTTAAAGGTCAAAACCAGCACCTTGAAGCGTATCTGGAACGCTATTGGCAGCCTGTGCAGCGACTTCAGCACAGGTTGGATGTGCTCCCTCATGGGGACACCCATCAGCAACCTGGCCACAGCATTCTGCACTAGCTGCAGCTTCTGGAGTTGCCCCAAGGGCAGCCCCATGTAGAGAGCATTACAGTAGTCCAACCTCGAGGTGACCATAGCATGGATCACTGATGCCAGGCCCAGATCGTTGCGTTCGAGGAAGGGGACCAACTGCCTACTCAGCCTTTTGAGGTTTGAAGGTCTGTAGTCTAGAGATGAAGTGTAATTCCAGGGGATTGGCATTCCTAATTATAATGTACAGGGAGGAAAGCACTAGATGTTGAACAAGATATTGTGCAAATGGAGCTATGCTAAGTCCATTTACGTTTCTGCTTGTGCATCACTTGATCCAAGCCATTAAATAAATATTTTTTAAAAGCGGCAATATTTAAAAAATAAACAATATCTACCATATAGTAGATTCAGGATTATACAATCCTTAAAGGATTACATCATCCTTTAAGGATTGTATAATCCTGAATCTACTATATAGGCCCAACACCTTTTTGATCAACACTGCTTTTAACCTAAGGAACATTTTATTGGGAACATTTGGCTGTACAATCTCAGAAGAATATACAGTTGACCAGAGAGAAGTACTACTGGACATGTGATTGCACTGGAGGCTTCATTTGTATTTTTGTATTTCTTTTCTTTGCCCAGTGGTTAAACTTTGGAACAATTGGTTTCTGGTTTTTATTCCATATTTTGTATATGTATGATTGTATGTATTTTTGCATATCAGCCAACATGTTCTGTCTGTATTAGACCTCTGAGGAAGGCCTGTAAAGGCCGAAACGCGTTATGTCTATCTTATTAGCCCTTGTATGTTTTTATATTTGTATATGAGGTATGAATGGGCCCTTGTTTGTTATTTTAATTTATGTTAAATAAATACATGTATATTTTTGTATGTTTCATAATTAGATTTTTAGAGTTGGCCCTCTTCTATTCTTGACTAACCTTTTTAGGTTCTGAGACTTTAAAAAACAACAACAACACCTTCCAAAAACAGACTTGTATGTCCATTAAGAAGAGGTAAATCCTATTTCAGCAAATGTAACACACCCACATAGGCCCCTTTCAGACAGGCTTTGCAATCCGTTTTAGCAGCAGGTTGCTAATGGATTTTTTTATTTACCTGTTCATACAAAGCCACTTGTGTCCCATAGGCAAAGTGGGGCTGAGCCGTTTTGAGGGAAACTGCTTGCTTTCGTTTTCACTTCTTCATTGTGCTTCTGAATCGATGTGGTGTGCTGCTTATAATGTCTGTAGCGCCTCCCACAATGCCGCTTACCCCACCCCTTTTTGCCCCATGATCTTCCTTGCCCTTTTCCCCCAAAAGTTCTAAGTTCAGTGCTATAGCACTAAATCAGTATACCACTACAGTGTTACAGCAGCACCACTGAGATGCCTTGACCATTGAGAGACAATATTGCTTTAGCACCATAGTGTTCAACTTAGAACATTTTTTGGGGGGTGGGAGGGTGAGTAAGATCACATGGAAAAAAGTGCAAGGGGGAAAAGTGGCACAGCTTGAAGTGGCCATAGTGCTTCAGAGACGGCTCATTAACGAGAGAAAGTATTGCTGTATGAAACCGCCATCCCTGTATTGCTTTAGTCGGAACTGGGCCAACAACAGATAAGATCCGGTTTAGAATGGTAATTTGAAAGGAGCCATAGTAACTATCATGACCCACCTCCAAGGAAGGACCCTATCAGTTTCCTCCCTGTGAGGATCAATCTGGGATCAAAAGTGAGCTGTGATCCCGAAGGAGGCTCCCCTACCAGCACGCAGGTTCCAGAACCCAAGCGGGAAGAGGCAAGGGCGGCTACCTGTTGGAGAAACGACAACATAAACTGAGAAAGCCTGCCACACAGATTTTGGCATAGTCCAAGACGGATTAAATCCCCATCCCTGCACCCCTGGCTGCTGTCCCTGCCTCTCCATCATGCCAGTGAGGAAGTGCTGATGTGCCAGTGATCATGCAGCTTCCCTTTGCCTCTTCACAGCTGAGCCGTGATTAAAGGGACTCTGCAGCTCAACTATGAACTGGGGGGAGCGGGAACAAAGCCTCTTAAAGGGCTATGCGGGGTGTGTGTGTGGGATGCTGAGCTCAGCTCTGCCACTTTGAAGGGGGTGCTTAGCCCTGCCCACTCCCTGGACGGGCTGTGGATGAGGAACCCACACAAACACTCCACCTGCAGCCACCTCACACTTCCCGTTTTGAGTCAGAGCACAGGACATCTTTGTTCACTTCGGCTTAAAGGAGAAAGCTCCAAGGGTCATGCTCAGAAAGACCATGACATCATATGGAAGCTCACACAAAAAGGGGGGGGATATGGTGCTAAACGGGGGGACCCACAATATGGAAAGAACATTTTATCAGGCAACAGCCTCAAGTGACAATCTTATACATCTCCAGGAGATGGCGGAGGAAAATGCCAAAATTTCAGACACTACCCTGGAGCGTGGAAAGAAGATATAAAAGGGATTCATCATGTCTCCCTTTTCTGAAGGTTCCAGATAATATCAGATGGTGGCTCTAAGCTATAAAAGGAGTATGAGAGGTTACAGTACAGAGGAATCACTCACCTCTGTGTCAATACGCCCGATGGCCTCAAAGGAATAGTCCACGCCGAGACCGGTCATCTCCACGAGCACCTTCTCAATGGGTTTGGTGAAGTCATTAGGAGAGATGCAGTCGGTGGCTCCTAACTCTTTCGCTTTGGCAAATTTGTCTTTGTTGATGTCGATGCCAATAATCCTGGAGGCTCCAGCTGTTTTGCAGCCCATGATAATGGACAGACCAACGCCGCCCAAACCAAAGATGGCACAGGTGGAACCAGGCTCAACCTGACAAACAATATCAACAAGAGCCCTGGGTTTGGGATTTGCAGGATCTCTTTTATCGACCTATTATTTGGAACATTTTTAGACTGTCTCCTGGCTAAAATTCTTGTCCTGGTTTACAAGAAACTTCAGCATAATGCAAATGCGGGAGAAATAGATGAAGTTATAACAAATTACATACATTCCCCCCAAAGCAGCAGAGATTTTTTTTAAAGGCAGCCAAGATTTTTTTAAAAAAACATCAAACCCAGCAAATACAAATTAGAAATTAGCTGCAATGTTCCCGAAGGAGGCGCTCCTACCATGTAGCCATGTAAAGGGGGGGGGGGAACGGACGCAATTGGGCCTCCGTGTAGAGCTCCATTGAAGGGCTTAGTTTCAGAGTGCTCTTCGAGAAGGGCCAGGGACAAGCTGATCTTACTATTTACTTATCATTAATTATTCACTAAAACATCGGAGAGAATAGAGTGTGGAAATAACTTGAAATTAACTAGTTTACACATAATCTGAGGGTTAGGGGAGGGGGGAGATTTAGTGCTAGGTGATTGTTGGTTATTCTATTGGGTAATCTTCGACATTCCTTATTGTTTCAGGGCTCACCAACAGAATTAATTCTTTTAAAACGGTATATACATTCTCGCTTGTATTGTTATTTATTTACTCATTTATTTATTGGATTTTAACGCACTTTTATTATACGTTAGGTTACTGTTTAACTTACTATTGAAAGTATCGTGCAGCCTTTTCTAGGGGAACCAAGGGGCTTATCTCTTTTGGAAATATTACATATTTAATTATCTTTGTATTCATAACTATCAGAATTCACAGGGTGCTGGTGGGGGTAAATAACGGTTTGGTACATTGGGTACATCGACAAGGTTTCCTGAGGGGCGATTGTACTGGGGGCAATTGTTAAGTTTATTGGCAAAGCTGATATACTATTCTCTCTTTGGTTTATTCCGTATTATACGGAAGTCACAGTAGTTGGGGGAAGTGAGAATTCACTGCAATTTGAAAATGAGATTTTGCTCGGTGAACATTAGGGGAATGAACAACCCTATCAAGAGGAAAAGGTTGATTCAGCATTTGAGGAAAAAAAGGCCAGATATTTTGTTCATACAGGAGACTCATTTAGTGCCACAGGACGAGTGTATTCTGAACACTGCTCTATTCCCAATCCAAATGCATGCACAGGGCACCTCCAAGTCAAGGGGAGTGGCGATACTGTTTGCAAAACATGTTAATTTCATTCTGAGCTCTTGTATTAAGGACCCGTTAGGCAGATACATTTTTGTTAAAGGTCAACTAGAGGGGAAATCTATAACGTTAGCGTCAATTTATGCTCCGAATAACTCGCAAGTCTCATTTATTGACGCAACTTTAGCGGAGTTGGTGCAATTTCAGGCTGGTGATCTAATCATAGGCGCAGATTTAAACTATGTAATGGATCCGTCTCTAGACAGATCATGGCGTTCTACTAAATTCAGAGCACCTAAGACATCTTCTAAGAACAACCTTCAACTCATTTCAAAAGGATTTTACCTACTTTTCGCCCAGGCATAATTCTTTTTCGAGGATAGATTATATATTGATTTCGGACACGTTACTTGCGCAACTTTCATCCATGGATATTGGCAATAAACATCTCACAGATCATGCCTGGATAGAAGGCAATATAGATATTATAGAAAAGACTGATATAGAGCGTACGTGGGCTTTGG